AAAAGTGTGCGTTTTGCTGGGCAGGATTCAATCCAAGATTAACCGTTGGACTGTGCGCGTGGTAAGCGACGCCACTCAAAGCTACACCACCTCCTCCTGTTTCAACTGCATTTTTGTGAGGAGCACGATGAAAAATTTAATCTTTGATTTTTTGTACAATTTCATGCTCCGTTGAAGTGCAACTCGCAATGAAAGGTGATTTTGTAATTCACGTCGTTCCGAAGGTTTCTTCATAATGCTCAAGCTTCTGCGTCATTTGCTGATATTCATCGTTGACTTTTTGTCGCCAGCCTTCCAAATGTTGTAGAATCTTGAACGGCGACACAATCAGATTCTGGTCGTGATTCCAACGTGGCGGAGCTGAAAATTTCATCTGAGACAACAAAGCTCTAAAAAATACTAGAAGAGAGTATCGCATTCACTTGCACACTGATCAAGCAGAACAGGAGTTCTCAATGTGTCAAACCATGGAAAGTGCATAGGTCCATTGAGATTTCTGAAAAATTAAGATTACAAGGAATGTTCGGCGGTAATCAGACATTTCTTTTTATCCGTACGGATGTGCCTAATCCACAACAAATGTGTCCCTTCTGAAAACGGGCAGAAACGCAGGGAGCGTGCATAAGAATGTTCATAGTTTCCGTATATTGCGGAAACCTGAACATTTTCCAAAGGCCTATCTACGAAGAGGTCGAAGTTGAAGGAGGGGAAACCTGCTTAGTGCAAAGACACCCCCAAGGGTTTGAACCGCCACCCAATTCCCAGCGAAGGGCATGTCCCCGCGACCTAGCATGGCCTTCCATACGGCTTATGGGTGCGACACGCCCACCGACTGGCTAACCGCAGGTCTCTAGCCATGTACCAGAGAGAGCGTTAGCGTTGAAGAGGGCAGCACCGATGAGAGTCGCATCAATGCGCAAATCAACGGGCAAGGAAGGGGTCCCATTTCTCGGGTTCTGGGCCGTTTCTCATGGTTTCTTCTCTCTCCTGCTCCACTGACCACCTCTACGTCTCATTTCCAATGAGCTAACTTTTCATCCCCTCGACTAAAGTAATGAAATAAAGTAAATTCTGCCTTGAATTTTGATAGGCTGCCTTCTGATAGTAAATTGCGCATCTCAGTGGTCCTCGGAAAAGTTCTAAGGCGGACATCAGCAGAAGAAACCTCTCGCGTTCGATTTGCTCAAGTAACTTCCGAGTTCTCACCCAATGTGCTCCGCGTTGTACTGTATCTTGTCGGCTTCTTTTCGTCCATGAAACATGAAGTCGATCATTGGATTCCAATGACTATTTGTTAGCCATCCATCACGGGCCCATCCTTGTCCCTAAGCTTACATTTAATCATTTGAAAATATTACCGCGACTTTCCACCCACTCACTTTCTCATGAATGCGAATATGGATAGTTTGAAGCCCAACGCAAACATACCGTGTATATGACAAACCAGAGTATCGGTGATGCATTCAAAAGTTGTCGCAAATGGTGCTATTGACCCGAGCAAGTTGCTTGATCATACATCAACACGAACAAACCCAACGCCGCGGATGCAACATCTCTTCATCTTCTCCTCGAAGAAACCGACGGTCCGGTCATTCAACTATCGAAACCACGAACACTACGCTGAATACGCCCGCGCCCTCGTCCGCACAGATACAGCGCACACCTACTCCGTACCCGCACTTTAGGAAGGGACAGAACCCCTAACACACCCAAACCCCTGAAAATGGGAATCGATCGTGGAGGGCGCGCAACATCTGGAGTCTCTCCTACCCGCCATCTAAAACTGGTCCCGATCAACAAGAACAGATTTCAAATGCCATGTCACCCCAGTGCCCCTTGGATAGCCTCCGAACTACCCGAACACTGCAGGTGCACGCTACATAAGTGACAAATGAAAAAATTAGTTCTCTCGCACCTTACCATGTAGACCAGCGTAAGCTAATTAATGGCAGATAACACCGTTTCGCAAGAAAAGTAGAAAATCAGTCTGGCGTTTATCGTCCAGGCCACCCAAGCTTTCCATCCCTCCACTTTGTCTGGAAGGATAAAAACAGAGATTTGTAAATCATCTGGCCCACAAGTTGTTGTGGAGAAAAAAATTGCATGCAAAATGCCATTAGGAATTGATCATAGGAGTAAAATACATGGCGCATCCTCTCCCTGGAAAATCTTGCATTCTTTCCCAACATGAATATGTCAGTTGTGATCACTAGAGACAACATACAAAGTTTCACGCACGAAATTTCCCGAAGAGAAACAAACTTACGAAAACCACACTCTATGGACGGTCGAAGGTAGGTCGCGCGGAGCCAAAGGCGGGATGGAAAGAAGTGCGCCTTGGGGCGGCCACGTATCAGGCGACGCATTGAAAGAATCGTTAAAGCGTTCGATTTTGGAGAATAGAGACAAAAGATCGATAGAATAGGATGCAGTAGAAGTGTGAGATGTTAATGCAATAAGTCAGAAGGCAGAAAGAGCTTCTAGTGACATCACTCTGTAAACCAAGTGTTCCTGCCGCCAGCATTTGTGACAGATGTCCGGCGGGGATTTGAATATGTAACGGTTCTTCCGACTTTTCGAATTGTTTACGAAAAGCGTGGGTGGATTCCTTCAAGATTGATCGACGCAGAATGCGTTAAGTTAATGCTTTAATGGATTCTGGTACTTCCCTGTAACTGTATTACTACACCATTTTGAGAGCATTTTCTTGCCATTTCATGGAAAATCAGTTTGACTGATAACTCACGTGAATCGCCCCGTTGTCTCTACCATGGAAAGATTTTGGCAGTGAAAATTCGTAGTCTGCCCATCCACGCAGAAACCGCTTGGAAAATTCGCTCCGCTTCACCAAATACGACCCTTCAATATAGGCATGAAGCGTCCTGCAGCAACTGGAAGCAGGGTCAACCGTCCGTTATTCCAACTCACGGATCCCTCTTAGGGAGGGTCTTGATACGACTCCCCACCGCTACCATTAGCCTGAGGGGAGTCTCATGGCTAAAGAAACGGTAAATCTTTTTATTTTGTCTATTTCTTCTTCCAAAAAGTTTCCGCCAAACTCGTCGAAACCGGTCAAACAAGGCTTTCTTTCCCCCCACCCCGTCCACTTCCGGAAACACAACCCACCTTTTGACCTCCACCACCAAATTTGACCGCAT